TATTCCACGTATCCCAGTTAAAGAAATGTCTTCGAGTTCTAGAAGAACAAGTTCCCCTGGGTAATATCGAGCTGGAAAAGAATCTGACCTACAAGGAAAGACCGATCAAGGTTCTTGAAGAGGCAGAACGTCAGACTCGAAGGAAGACCGTCAAGTTCTACAAGGTCCAATGGAGCAATCATTCTGAAGATGAGGCAACCTGGGAGCGAGAAGATCTTCTCCGCGCCGAGTTCCCGGAGCTGCTCCCTTAGGTGCTGAATCTCGGGGTCGAGATTCTTGTTAGGGGGATTGGTCTGTAGCGCCCGTCCCGTCGTGGCGCCTAGCGGGAAAATTATCTCTTAAAAACCCTATTTGCGAAAGCTGTTTCTTTGCTTGTGGTCTAGTGTCCGTGCCATCTCAGATCTCAAATCCCCGATCTATCGTCGAGTTCAATCCCGAATCCAAATCCTTCCAAATCAAATCCCTCCGCAAAAGTCTAATTTGCCTATCCCGGGTTCGATGGGCCGAATCTCTCTCGGCCCATCTCCCCCTCCCTCCCGGTGCTCTCTCTCTCTCTCCCTCTCTCCCTCCCCATCCGCTCCGCCCGCGCGCCGCGCGCGCGAGCGCGAAAGTCGCGCAGAGCGCCCTCCCTTCCCCTCGCTCTGCCCGCGCGTGCGCGCGCGCCCCCTCCCCCTCGCTCTCTTTCTCCTCATCCCTGGCAAGCCCCCCCCCCCCGCCTGCGAAGTCGGCCCCCGCGCGTCGTTCGCGCGCGCGCGCCCGCGTGATCGTCGCCCGCGTCGCGCCTGCGCCGTCTGCGCCGCCCGGCCCCGCTGCCCTGCCGCGCCTGCAGCCGCTCGGCCCCGCCGCCAGCGCGCGTGCCCGAGCCGCGCCACTCAGACCGCCGCGCCGCCCGTTGTTTCCCGCGCGCGCGTACCGTGGTGGCCGACCGCCTGGTCGCCGCCGCCATCAGCCTCTGCCGCGCCTGCCCGCGCCTGCCGCCCGTGTCATCGCCCCGCTCCAAACCGCCCCGTCATCATCGCCGTCGTCATCACCCGGCCCCCGCCACTCCGCGCGCAAGCTGCCAAGGGACGGAGGCAGAGCTCCTCCTCCCTCTGCCGCGTCGCCCCCGCTCCCTCCTCCTTTTCCCGAAGAGGCAAGGGGACAAGCCCCCTTTTCTCTCCCTCTTTTCCCCTTTTTCCTCCCGCCGGCATCATCCTCCTCCCTCCTCCTTGTCGCCGCTTTGGCCGCGACCGCCGAGCGCCAGCCCTCTCCTTTGACCGCCCTATGTCGGTTCCCAAACCGACATTGCCATCCTATAAACCCAAGCTTCCCCCTTTCCTTTCCTCTCCCATTCGCCTCCACGCCATTGCCGCCGCCTCCCGTGCTCTGTTCGCCGTCGCCGTTCGTCGTTGCACGTGTCGGAGGAGCCGGCACGAGCGAGGACGCGGAAGGGGACTCTGGGCGCGCCCTCTCCTTCCTCTTCCCCGGCCCGAGGCCGGAGAGATTACTCCCGCACCGTCGGCCTCTCATCACTGCGCCCCGCCCGCACGGTAGTGCATCTCCCCGTTCTCCCTCCTCGTTTCATCTCCTCCCCTTAGACTCGGGTAGTAGCACGAGTAGCCTCCCCGTAGCTAGCCGGCGCCGCCCCGACCGTTGCTCGCCGCCGTCGCCGCCCGAGCTCGGAAGCGCCGCTCGTCGCCAGCCTCGCTCGGCGCAGCTCCGCCCAATCCAACGCTAGCATCGGATTCCCGTAGCCGCGTAGATGCTCTCGCCGCCGGGAATCGGCCCCTCATGACCTCGTCGCCGTTTCCCTCTTCCCTCCCCGTCGGTTGCCGCCGCCGCGATCCGCCGCTGACGCACTCCCTCCGGCGAATCCGAGCCGTTGGCTCGTCTCCCCTCGTCTCGTGCAACCACCCGGTGTGCTCGCTTTCGCCTGTATCGCCGTGGTGCGCCCCGCCGCTCACCGCTGTCGTCCGCCGTCCATTCCGGCCGGCGTCGTCGCCTACCTCCCGCCGGCCCGCGTGGCAGCCACGTAGGCGCCACGTCGGCGCCAGCTCGGCCAAGACCGGGTCGAGCCGACCCCGGTCAGTCCCTCCCCGTGTGCGCGTTCCACCGCGTGCCGTGAGGCTGCGCGTGGGACCGCCGCATCCGCGTCCACCGCGAACCGCGCGCGTACACCGCGTCCCTCCCCCGCCCGCGCGCGTGCGCCGCGTGCTCGCTCCGCACGGTGAACCGTGTCACCGACAAGCGGGTCCCACCCGGGACCGCGCGAGGTGAGCCTGGTCCACCGGATCTCTCTCTCCTCCCCTCCCGCGTGCGCGTGCCTTGGGCCGCCTTGGGCCGGCCGGCCCATTTAGCTCGGCCGAGCCGCCCCTTTTCTCTCGGGCCGCGCCCTAGCCGCCCGAGGAAAAGTCTAATTTCCCTCCCTCTTTTCTTTTCTTTTCTTTTCTTTTTCAAAAAGGATTTAATTAAATCCTTTCCTTTAGACCAAAAATCCAATAATCTTAGAAATTTAATATCTTCCCAACAGTAAATTCGTTTGAATCCGTTCAACTTCCAAAATTCCTCAAATCTCGAGATCTATCTAATGGCATGCTTAGAGGTCATTAATAGGGCTTTATTTTCGCCGTTTGTTGAGTTGTCCCGTTTCGCGTGTAGTTTCGAAGCCCGAAGACCCGCAGTGCGAGGATTTCGAGGATCAAGCTCCAGATCTCGAGCAAGGCAAGCCACCTTTGAACATCTTGAGCCTATATTTGAAATTTAATTATGTTGCTTGAAAAATATTATGCATTGATAGGATCGCACTTAATCTGTTGTCCCGTCTGCAAGGCAGATTGGCGGACCTACCTAAATTGTTGCATTTGATCCTTCCTTTGATAATTGTTATATCGTGTCCCCTTGTAACCATCTAGTTGCGTCTCGATATTCGTGCATCCTGTGCGAGTATCGACGGACGCCTTCAAACTTAAAATCTGAAAAAACTTCTTGGGTAAAACTTGGGTTTTACAAAAGACTTGGAAAACCCGACACCTGGGTCGGTGCTTGCGAACTAAATGAATTTCCAAAACCGCGGACCGGGGAACGTACCGGGTGTACGGTTTCCCGCTCTCGCACTTCAGGACCGTTTCCTTGGAATTTCATCCAAACATAAGACAAGTACGACCACATGGGTGGAATGGGACACCCCTGGCTGAGTAACTAGCTTATCAGGGGAGCCTTGATGCCGAGAGACATGTGGATTCGCCGGGGTGGTGTCGGGGAGGACCCCTGGGCTTCCTGGCACAGTATGGTCTGGGACCTAACCTATTGTTGGTCTGGGACCCCTCTCGTCGGCATATGGTAAACCTGTGTCGGCTTTGGAAATGCCTTGTCATGAAAGCTTGGAGGTCTCCCGACGTGGCTGATTCCCACGGGCTGGGTGATCCGGGTTAGTAATGTCGTGTGGGTAAAGTGTACCCCCTCTGCAGAGGTTAGCAAACTGTTCGAACAGCCGTGCCCACAGTTATGGGCGGATGTGAGGTGATTCCTAGCGTAGTTTTGTTTGACTACTGCTTGTGAAATTGCTGTTGTGGAAAGGGGTTCGATGATTGAAAAAATCTGCAGCTGATGGTATCAGCTAGGCCCGGGTGGCCGTTTGAAAGTTGTTGGCCTGGGTGGCCGTTTGAAAAGCTGTTGGCCGGGTGCCAACCTTGAATCAATTCTAAAGACTGATACATTACACATACTCCGACCGGACGAGACGCACTGTCTCATCCGTGTCGTTTGAGAAGCACTCACTTAGTTATTTTTAGAAAAGAGTTCAAATAAAATCAACTGCAAAAACAACAGCCTTTCCTTGAAGCCTGCATTAAACACTTATTTCCCATGGCTTGCTGAGTACTCCCGTACTCACCCTTGCTCTTTATAAATAATCCCCCCCAGTTGCTGAAGAAGATGAACCGGATCCTGCAGATGAGGAGTTCTTCCAGGAGCAAGCCAGCTACGGTGAGTTTTAGGGTTTCGGCCTAGTTCCCAAGTCGCGCCTGTGTTGTTTGATCCAAGTCCTGGCTTCCGTTTCCCTTTTGTAATGCAGTTGTGAGCTCGGGATCTGTCCGCAGCCCAACATGACTGTACCTCTACTCTATAATAAAGAGACCTCTGTTGCTATGATAATCTGTCTTCCTGTGATACCAGCACTGTTTCCTGGGACTGGTAACGATTAACAGGTTAATTTGGAGCGTCACGGGCTAGTTCCGGTCGGTACTAGTTCGGGTCGTGACATCTTGCTCCCCGTGATCCCGTGCAAGCGCCCATGCCAGCCCAAGCTCATAGCCGTAGGTTTCCGTCCTGAGGGCAACCTCAACCATCTCCCTCGATCTCTACCCTCCTGCTAATCCTCACCTTGAACCTCGTACCGCTTTTGGTACATCATGCATATGATTTTATTTTCTTGCTCATAGCGTCGCGAAGAGATATGCTCGAGTGGCACAGTGAGCATCGTAGACAATAGGTCCCACGCGTCATTGTGGAAGATCATAGCAGGAGTATTCATTATCTTAAATTGTTCCTGATGCTAGTATCTCTAGCATCCGTTGTGTATATTTCACATGTGTACGAGGTGATTGAAGATTGCTAAACAAAGGGAGCACAATGACTATTGGCTAGCAATAGTTCTTCCAGCTATGACCGATACCATGATTGAATATAAAAGTGGGAAGACACAACACAATAGATTGATTATCTAGAGAGCTGGTACATATAGCCATAGAACCAATCATATCTAAATCAACCAACTTATAGAATAGGTATCAGGAGATGATACAAGACAGTGTCCGGCTAGGACAAAACATGAAATAAAAGATATAGAATCCTATTCTAACACCCTGCTTAGACATTCCACCACTTTTTGTAGATCATGCACATAATTTCATCTTCTTGCTCACAGCTTCTGGAACAGATATTCTAAAGTGGAACGGTGAGCATTGTAGGCAACAGGTCCCACAAATCATTGGCGGAAGATCTGAGCAGGAGTATTCATTCTCCTAAATTGTTCCTGATGCTTGCCATGCCTAGTAGTATATATATGTGAAAGGATGAGTTTTGGTACAAAGTAGAATCTCACATTTGTCACGTATTATATATACCTCATTTCTCTCATTTTGAAACTCAGATCGACTATATTTATTTGTGTGTGTGTGATGGGGAGGGGAGTTACTTATAGAGGCATTGCAACAAGAAAGGGGAAGCAAAGTACAGTTTAATTTACTACAGTTATAAGGATGGAATGAATTCACATCTTGACATGTTTTTATTCATGGGTAAGTTGTTCAGCACAATGCTGTAACTCTCTACAAGCTATATTGGAATAGTTCCTTGTAGTTTACTGGTCACTCTTCCATCTTATATAATGGTGTAGGCAAGGCTGTTATATTTTGTGCTTTTTCATATATGAAATTTCTATGCAGGTGAAAAATCAGAGCAAATGAAGATATAAAGTCAAAACAGAGTATGATCAAAGAATTTCAGAACAGTGTGCAAATATATGTTAAAATATATGTTAAAAATAGTGTGCAAAGATGAAGCCAAATTATGTTGTGTAATCGTAGTAGCATAATCGTTCAGATGCAGAACACACAATGATATGTATGTACCGTCAAGCAATTGTTGCTGGGCTAGACATCATGGTTAGCATGGTAGTATCTCTAGCAATTGTTGTGTGTATGTCACTTGCATAGAAGGTGATTGCAGATTACTAAACTAAGGGAGCACAATGAGTAATTGACAAGCAGTACTTGCAGCTACGTTTGGCTGCGTACATCTGTGTTGGATGCTGAGACCAGATTTTACCCATTATCTAAATAAAAAAATAGTTTTGATCGGCTATGTTACTGTGTAAAAGCCGATCAATATATAGTTGTACTAAAGATCTATTTTTAGTCCCGGTTGGTAACACCAACCGGAAAAAAAGATCGACATGCGCCACGCGAGATCGAGAGGACTGAGGCGTACGGGAGGATCAGTTAATAAGTTCTGACCTTTATCTCCTCTCCTCACTCACCCCATCTCTTCCTCTTCCTCCTCCCATCTCTTCCTCTACCTCCTCTAGATCCGCCCCCTCCCCTCCCCTCTCCTCCCCACTTCTCAGCCTCCTCTGGATCCGCCCCCTCCCCTCTTCTCCCCACTTCTCAGGCGGCGGCGGAGGCAGCCTCGCGCGCCCTCACGCGATAGCCGGGCGGCGAGGCACAGCGCGCGGCGCGGGCGGCGGGGCCGCGCACAGGGTGGCAGCGCGCCGACTCTCCTCTCTTTTTTTTATAATTTGTGATTGAGAAATGTATAATTTCTTTTTTAGAATTTGTGATTCATTGCATGGATCTGAGATGTATAATCGATCCGTGATGTATTTGATTTGTGTGTAATTTTTTTAAGATTTGTGATGTATTTGATTTGTGTGTAAGTAACTTAGGATTTGTATTTGTGATGTGAATGATTTGTGATGTTACTTTGATTTGGGGATTTGGGGTTTGATTTAGATATATGCATGACACTCGATTTGGGGATTTGTTGTTTGATCTGGATGTATACATCCCACTCAATTTGGGAGAAAATAAAAAGAAAATGGACCAACCGGGACTGCCCCTATCCTCTCTTTAGTCCCGGTTGTTGTTAGGTCGATCTTTACTCCCGGTTATTTAACCTGGGACTATCTTTGGACTACAGGGATTATAAACCGGGAGTAAAGATGGTTTCTCCACCAGTGACCATTACAGCATTTATATAAATCTACATGTTATGCACTCCTATTTATTGGATACACCCTTGTGTTGACATAAACAATCTGTGATGCAATAAGTTCTAATTGGGGAAATCACCATCATGAACTACGTACCAGTACCTTGAATGTATATTTATTCATCACGCGTACAAGATTTTTGCTTCTTCTTGGTGTTGTTAGTCACATTTCTGATTTACAGCAAAGAAAGAAAGCGAAGAACACTGGTATAGAAAACATTTGTGTAGGTGGTTCAAGGCCCATTTACGCAGGAAAATCGATGATTTATGCAGCCGGATTCCACAGCCGCCCATGAAAACCACCCATGAAATGAATTTTCAGTGTTTGTTTTCTGTAGCTGCAAAAAACAAAAAACGAAAAAATATTTTACATTTTAGGAGGGATTTGTCCACGGCCACGCGTCACACATCATGCCAGTTTACGTGCAAAATTTGTGTGCGTGAAGTAAAGGATGTGAAGCCTCCGTCCCACCTCGCCTATGAAGCACTCAGCGACTATGGGATAGATACTGACTTTACTAAAACTTATGGTACATCTTTGGTACTCTAAATGACATCAAGGGAATATTCATCAACGGCAAAGTTTGTAGATCATGTGGAGATATAGACAGTTCATCTGAGATCATGTTGAGATACAGAGCCTTCATCTGAGGTCAGTCGAAAAACTAAATAGTTCATTTTATATAAAATTGCCCTGAGAGCGTGTAACAAATACTTGGTCGCCTAAACGATCCCCAAATAAAAAAACCCACTCAACTACAAAGAAGTTATTGATCTCATCGAGAGCTTCAGTTTTAATATCAAATTTGTCATCATATGAAAGAGTGACGATTTTTTTCTTGAAATAGTATGGCACTAGATAATATATTTTACAAGCATTTCTTATCAGAACCGCCTACAAAATTCATTTTTAACAGTGATTGTTCGAGAAGTCTGCATGTGGAAAACCCTTTTTGTTTAAAAATTTGTAGAAAATGTCACCTTGGCTCACTGATCAATTCATACGTACTTAAAATGAAATTACTATAAATTTATAAAATTCGGACTTCCTACATAATTAACCCCGTGTAAAACTAGATACTAAAGTTCGTAACGAATGTTTAGGTATCTAAACGTTCTCAAGTATAAAATGTTTAAACTAACATGTTGTAGATCTTGTCGAGTTCTATAATTTTTATGTTGAGCATATCTCCATCTGAAGTCATTTGAAAAACTCAAAAAAGTCATTTTCTAAAATAGAACTGAGGGCTTCTAAATAGTACTGCAAAGTTTGTAGATGACAACCTTTCTACTGCAAAGTTTGTAGATCTCGTGGAGAACTATAACTTTTTTATAATATTTTTCATCATCCAACTTCATGCGGATGAGTTACCTTTTTTTCACGAAATAGTACTACTTTTGTTTTCAAGGGCGGTTTCTTAATAGAAACGATCGCTAAAATCGATTTTTACATGTGTTTTCCTTGAAAGACAAGCTCTGGTAAAAACCATCAGATTCATACAGTTGGATTTCTGAAGATGCTGCCTTCAAATATTATGATTTTCACCAGCAGATCCTTAGGAAAAGTGCCCGTGAAAACAAACCTATTTTTGCAGGGCGTAAAAAAAATGAATTATGGCCTGTACAAATCATTTTTTTAGTACTGGAGTTTGTTATTGAAGTCAATAGAGCATTTTTCGATCTTATATATACTAGATGATTAGCGAGGAGCATGATTTGAAACTTTCAAATTAAACTAACTGAACTCTGAGCAAGGCCTTCCTCATTTGCCAAAATGTTTAAATTCGAGTTGAATATTAATGGGGATTATGTACCATTTTCTCCACCTTACTGTACACTGCAGCTGATATACAGGATGAAGTTAAAATGGGCATGTTTCCTCCGGATCACACAAAGGATGAAAGGAGAATGCATCTTGGCCAACACATGCGTCTGGTGTTGGTGCAGGTGGATCACTAGATCTACGAGCACAATTGATGATGTATTTACGGACCTGTTCAATCGCAACATGTGCCATCCAGAGCAGTCACGCTAGTTCATCCTATTGCTCACATCATATGGAAGAAATATCTTGAAGTCCTAGCAGCACAGTGAGCAATGTAAGAAAGACCTATATATGCATGATCTTAAGACCAAACAATGCACAATCATCATCCTATGTTGTTCTTGATGCCTACCATACCTAGTAATGTATTGGATGTGATGGTTTTGTGAGTATTAACATAGAATATTTTTGAAAATCCTCAAGGATGGTTGAGAAAGACTACTATATATGTACTTCTTTTTACAAGACTACTGATGTATTTTTTACCATTCATTGCTCATTTCAACACTCGGATCGATTTGCTACACTAATTTTGTCAATGAATGTTGGGAGGTTGGGGGATTTCTCCACTATTTGTAGGCTTCACATATACATTCTTTGCACTATTTGTAGCGCAATCTAGTTACGATTTTAACAAGAAATGGATTTAGATCTGCACATAGCTTTTTATGAAGAGTAAATTGTTCAAAACTTGCGAAAAGACATGTAACCTAGTGGTTACATTGATCTTGATCTGAGTAGCACCATAAGATCCTGAGTTCAAATATCCAGTGGCGGAGCGCTCGGTAGGTCTAGGTGTGGCGCTCCCACTACTTCCCCCACCCCCCGGTGTCCGGCAGAGCAGGGCGCCACACCACGAGATGCAGAGCGCGGCGATGCTGCGTCAGACGAGAAGATGAGCGACGACCACCGTTGCGCACAAGCCAAGAGCCCAGACTGGTAGTAGCCCAAGCTAGTAGCCCATTAATTTCCCCATCTCCTCCACCTCCACCTCCAATCCTCCATCGATTCCCCAATCCCATCTCGGACCAGCTGACCCAATCCCCATCAACCCATCGACGGACGGCGGCTGCTGTGGAGCCTAGAGCCGGCGTGCCGCACGCAGGAGGGCAGGCGGACGCGAGGAGGGGAACGGTCGCCGGGCTCCGAGGCAGCGGCATGGCAGGCGGCAAGCTAGCAGGCAAGCCTGCCGGGGCGCAGGCGCAGCGCAAGCAGACTAGCAGAGGCAGGGGCAGCCGGGCAGGGACGCGGCAGCCGGGCAGGTGCAGCAGCAACTCAGCAAGCTACGAGCCAAGCGGAAGCAGCCATCAGTCCATCAGCTAGTTCCTATACGTGAATCTTTGCTATTTGTTTACCTTATTAATCTCAAATATATATGCTAGTCGATCTTTTCTATTTATTTTTGCAGGTTCTACATATGCCTATCTATCCACACTGATTCATATATATAATATATTGCTGAAAGACGAATTAATGTATTTTTTAGTTCATACTCTTCTATTCACACTTGTTTGCAAATGGACGATGAATTGTGAACTTGTGATTAGTGCTTGTTATCATGCTTAATATAGACATGGTGAGATAATATTGTGTCGTACAATATCATGCATTGATATTATGTTTGTTTTTCCTTATTCTTATTATGTGATGGTAGTTCATTGGCCACACCTAAATTTTTTTTCGTCCTCCGCCACTGCAAATATCCATATGAGCGAATTTCAGATTGGGTTATCTGAGGGGCTAAGTTCGCCTGAATTTCAGATTGGATTATTTAAAAGGCTAAGTTCGGCTGCATACATCCGGTTGGATGTATAGACCAGCTACAAAATACCCTTCTGTAAAATAAAAAAAAAATGTTTGGCACAAAGATGTAAGTACTTCCTACTAGCTAGCTAGGAAATACTTGTATATTTTTGCTTTCGGATATGTCAAATTCCAAGCAGGTGAAATAAGAGAAAAGTTAAATTAAAAATTTATTGAAAGAAATAAAAAAGAGAAAGTAAAAAACTTAACAACGAAACACATGGCAGAGGAAGGAGCTCTGAACCGAGTGAGCAAAGATGAAGCTGAATTATGTATCCTGTAGAACACACAACGACATGGACAAACTTTACAGGTCTTTTTCATGCAAACCTAACTTTTGTGCGAAAATTTGCACTGACTTCTAGTATTTCAGTTCCATTGGGTGTCATTAGTAATTG